TTGCGATAATCAACTAAACCAAACCATAACAGGAACACTGGACATTTTCTATTTCAACATCTTCTATGAATGAATGTTTCCTAACAGAGCCATCGCGTATTTTGCCGAAATGAATTAACAGTCAACTCAAAGTGGATAAGCAAAACGCCAATGTTGAATTTAAAACTGCACAATGCAGTAGTCTTAGTTTCGAGTAGATTTTCAAAAGCGTCTATCGATTGTGAGTGCAATTATCTATCGATTGTAAGTGTATTATGAATCGTAGGTCTCTCGTTTTTTGAATCTGAATATTTTTGGTAAAATTCATTTTCTCACTGAAGTATATGAACCTGTGATTGTGTGTAGAGAACTTTAGAATGGATTTTCTCGAAAACGAAAATTTGAAAGGATTCAGATTTCAGCACATTACTTGCTAACACAAGATTTTGGGACTTTTTTTTTAACTTTATTGTTAAAAACCGCTTTCTCCACATTTAAGCTACATAAGATTCAATAGAAAATCACTAAAGTTTTAAAAGCAGCTGGTTTTTAGAACTCATCATCATTGATGGCATATATTTTTCTGTTTTTTCACTCGTTTCTTGATTCATCATATCAAACTTCAGTTTTCGTAATCAGATAACCTAAACCACTCTCTTTGTCATTTTAACTTAACTTTTTAGTTTTATTAAACGTTACTTTCTTTCACGTTAAGCCTCATAAAACTCAACAGCGAAATGATAAAATTTTTAAAAGCTACATATGTCTGGAATTTCCTATACAGTGTTAAGTGTTGCCACTAATTTTTTTTCATTTCTTTATCCGTTTATCCTACCAGGGTTCCGTTTTCTTAGTAAGATGATTTTCATATACTTCCGGCGAGGGCATTGTTCATTTTTCACGCTTCCTGCTTCGAAATAACCTGATGTTTCTACGGTGTTAGCAGTGATAACTAATAGGGGGACCGGAAAGTAATGTCGTTTCTGCGCATGTCGACAACAACATGCTAAGGGCAGAAGTGGAAGCAAATCCATGTCAAACACTCTTAACCAACCTTGGTCGATCATCCAAGAACATTTAAAGCAGAATGGAAAAATAAGCAAAACAGGTGTTTGAGTGCCCCCATAATCTGTCCGAAGAGAGAAGAAAGCCAACCGATCCATCACATGCAATGTATTGCTTCAACGGCACCATATGGAACCGTTTTTTGATCGTTTGATTACTGGAGACGAAAAATGGGTCCTGTATGATAATCCAAAACGCAAAAGGCAGTTTTAATAGGGGTTGCAAAGGGTTTACATCCCAAAAAGTCGCTTCTGTGTATTTGGTGGATTTTTCACTGAATTGTTCATTTTGAATTGCTGAAACCTGAACAAATTGTTAATGCAGATTTTTATTGTGAACAATTGGATCGAGTGAACCAATCTTTAATCGAAACATATCCGGCGATTGTCAATAGAAAAGGCATCATTCTGCAACATGACAATGCAAGACCGCACTGTGCAAGACGGGCACTGGAAAAAAATGAATGATTTGGGATGGGAAGGGCAGCATCACCCACCATACTCGCCCAATATCGTACACACGAGACTCCATTTATTGCGATCCCTACAACATTTTCTAAGTGCCAAAAAATTTCAAAATTTGAATGATGTCCAAAATGCCATCTTGATATATTTTACTCAAAAACCAATTCATTTATATAGGTCTGAGGATTGAAAATCTGCACGCTAGATAGCAAAAGGTTGTTGATAACGAGGGTGATTACATTATTGATTAAAAATAAACACGTGTTAAAAATTTATTCGTGTGAATTTAATGTAAGAAAGCAACATTACTTTCCGGTCCCCCTATTACAAAGAAGGCAGTATTTTTGGTATATATCCAACGTAATATGTTGGACACATATAAGCTTCATATATAAATTTGGAGCTATAGTGAAAAAGGAAAAGAAATTCTGGGGAACGTAAACTTCTAGTATGTTTGGGTAGGAAGAAGTTCTGGAAATAAGGCAAGAAGGAAAACAAAATATTAGCTTGCTTTGAAGAAATATGACTTCGCAAAATAGTCATTACGTCGTAAGATGAGTTTGGTAAATTTTATGTGAGCATCGAAATGATTTTATGCAGCGCATGTGATTTGAATGGATAAGCACGAATTACTATTCACATTTTTAATACACGGTTTTCTTCTAAACACCCTATTTTCTATTTAACTAAACTTCAGATGTAATTATATTCCAAATTAAACTCTGATTTACGCTCTTTTCGTTGGTTTCACACACCGCATAACTTCATTGCGTTTTTCTCTTTGAAGGTCAGCTTGAAAAAGCGAAAGTAGTTTAATTTATGTAGTCTGAAATATTTGTTACATGTCAAGTGTAATATTTTACGTCTTTTTACATAGTCAAGTAAAGATGTTAAGTAAAAAATCCGTAATATCGCCTAGAAATTGACAGATTTATGCTTTCACGAAAGGGATGAATTCTGGAGATTTGAAATATTTTCCTGTCCAACAATGTCCAACGATAAAGAGCAAATTTCTTAGAAATTCAAAGTTATAAGTCTGGTAGCTCATTTATTTGAATAGGAATTTTTTTTTCGACTGAAAGGTTTTGCAGATTCAAAATGGCCACTATTCAAACTGAAAAGAAACCCATAACTTTGGATTTATTATCATGGCCTCTTTTTTAGAAGCTATGGCTGAGAAGTAGAGTGGCCAGAAATATTCTACTGGATGTCGTGCGAAAAATGTGCTTTACTCTGTGTACCGTGATATATGTAAAAGTTTAAATCTTCCTTTCAAAATTCCATATTACTTGCTTTTATATAACTTAGTCAGTTTTGAGAAATTGAACACAATAAAATAGTAGTGTTCTGGGAAAACAATAAAATAGTAGTGTTCTGGGTTCTGGGTCCTCTTTACTTGCTGTTTGATTTTTAAATTTGATCAGGTTATTTACAATTTACTAGTATTTTAAATGAATTACATTTTTACGCTAAATCAGATATTTAGACATTACGTCACGTGTACAAAAAAAGGCTCATGAATGAGATCAATATAAGAATGGCCTCTGTTGGTATACTTTGCAGGAAAAAAATGGGACTCTCTTCCGCTATGAGTGACAAAATTTAACTTGCGTTTTTCATGTCTGAGCACGACTTAGGCTATATGTTAGATTTATACATAGCATTGTTCTAAAATAAGTATTCTAAACCAAAATCAGACTTTTTCTGAAATGATGTATCTATTTTTTTCATAGTTTTAATCTGCGACTTAAATTATGCCAAAGTGCCAATTTGTGTAAAACTCGCACGGGTAGTTTTTGAAAAATTAGCTCTCCAAATTTTAGTTCCTCAATGTTAATTTAATTTGGTCTGTATTTATTAATAGCTTTCTTTTTATTAAACTTACTTGATTCCTTCTTTGAGATTTCGAAATTTAAGTTCAATCCAAATAAAATTCGCAGCTATTTTGTACTTTGTTTGTAAAATTTGTAAATTTTTCGAAAACCATTTTTAAATGATTAATTTTTGAATTTATTTATTTTACCTATATAATTTGTACCATCATCTTAAAGTAAATATATTTATAGGCACATTTGCAAAAAATTAGAGATTTTTAATCAAAATTATGCAATGTATATTTGATTAAAAATGGAGATGAATTTATATATTTATATACCCGGAGATGAATTTATATATTGGCGCATTTTGAAATTTGGCATTAACTCTATTTTTTTGCGTACGCTTAAAAGTATTTAGAAAACTAAATCCATTCTTATTACCGCGAAATTCTTCCAACGAATTACAAAAATCCAGACTTTTTATATTTATAAAAGCGAAGTAATTTTAAAAAAAAATGCAAAAAAGCATTCCATAATCATTAAGTTTAAATAGAAGAAAATATTAAAGCGTTTGTAGTTTAAAAGAAAAATCGTTTCTGAAATTAGTAGGTTAATTGATTATTGCAAACCAACTCTAGGGCTATCTGCTTACGGCTAAAGATTACGGCTTACGGCAATTTCGTGGAGGGAATTTTAACTGAAGCGACGTTACATGTAGGTAAAACCACCCCGGAGACTCCCACGCAGCCAACCTCTTCTCTAGGATTTGACCTCTGGTCGAACTAACACCTCTCGACAACTGGTAGGGGGGGCTCAAACTGTAAAGGAGCGGAAAATCTAATACATATGTGTTCTGGTTTTCCTCATTTGTCTGACAATCACATGAAGTTCGTGACTTGATGAGACTTGGGACGTTTCAGAATCAAATCTTTTTTAGTGTAAATTTGGTCTTCAAAGAAGTCAATGCACGAGACGATAAGCGAAGTAGCTTTCGAAAAGCTAAACTTGGAGCATAGAAAATACACATTGTGTCCAGAAATGTATTTCTTCTAAGTTAATTGCTGCAAATTCTGGATAGTAGAGGCGGGCCTTTCTACTCCTCGCCTAATGAGGAATAAATATAACTTCAGTAGATCTGAGGACTTGAGGCCCCAACTTGAAACTGCTCCTAACATACAACTTAGGCTCTGTCTATGCTTTAATTGAGCATAATGGAATGGCCTTCACTCCTCGGGTGACCCTACCAGGAGTTAAGCTTCCGTTATACTTCATCTATCCCCATCAATGAGGCATGCTCATTGATGGGCAAAGGATGCCCATCAATGAGGCATCCTTTGACTCCCCATCAATGAGGCATCCTTTGACTCCCCATCAATGAGGCATCCTTTGACTCCCCATCAGTGAGGCATCCTTTGACTCCCCATCAGTGAGGCATCCTTTGACTCCCCATCAGTGAGGCATCCTTTGACTTCCCATCAGTGAGGCAGCATAGCTGAGAGGATAGTAAATATATCACTGTATTTATGCATATTTTGTATACTTTATATAGAAATGCTTTTCACAACTTATTTCTTTCTTTCTGCATTCAAGTGTAGCAGTAAAAAGGTATTCTCTTATGTGTGTTATTATATCTTATCATACATTTCAGAAACTTCATGTTATATTTTTTTTTCAGTAATGGAGCTGGAACGAGTGGGGCCTTTGCTGGTGGCTGTGTTGGTGGCCGTGTGCTACAGCAATTCTTTGAGCTGCGGGTTGGCTTACGACGACATTGCTGCAGTGAGAGATAATAGGGATATAAGACCTCACACACCTATAACTAACATCTTCTTCAATGACTTCTGGGGAATGCCTCTCAGGAAGGTAAGTGAGCTCGAATATTACGGCTTACGATTCTCAAGTAGTTTGTTCATTATTTGGCTTCCTTCCGGCACAATTTAGGACATTGGATAATTGGTTTCTGTATAAACAGAATTATCTGCATGGTTTTCATACGAATAAAATCATTTCCTTAGTTTCCAAGTTGGTTCCATCAATCGGCAGACATCTACTTCGCCTCTTGAAAAACCGCTTTGATTACGTTCTAAACACGTCTGCTGAGAGGGACACGTATGCCTCATTTATGGAGGCCTAAGGGTCCTAAATGTGTAAAATTAACTTAAATTACTTCAAACCTATTAGAGTGTAATAGGTTTGAAGGAATTTAAGTTAAGCTGCGTCTGAAATATTATGACAAAGTCCTAAGAAGATTTATAAAAATATTTTTTTCAATCTCAATAACCTATAACCTATATATATAAAGTAGAAAACGAAACGTTACCATTGCACATACAAACTTCAATGTGCATAATATCATTATGCATACAATTAAACTTTGCCGCTTATGGGTATTCAAAATAACAAAGTTGAAGTTTCAAATTAGAAGTATCGTCGTCACACAGATTGCCTGCTTAAGCTGAATATTTTAATAGCTGGCACACTAATGTCGGCTATAAAAACGGCTAAAGCCAAACGTTTCACTGACAAAGCTGGTCGATAGACCTTAAACTGCAGGCGTTGCTGCCAGGAGTTCTATATCTGAAATATTCAAGGCCCTCGACTTAAATACCTTTCAGTTTAATTTGCTTCTCTGTGAGAACTACGGAAAGAAGGAGTTGTGATAAAAGTTTAAATTTTAAAAATTTGGTTTTTTTCTTTTGAGGTGGCAAGATCATTTGGTAGACAGCCAATGTATTCAGGTGATGTATCCAAGTGATGTGTGCTGTATTCTATTTTATTTCGCCAAACTAGTGGAGTTGCGATTTATAAAAATTTGACGAGTTTAGCAGCTATCTACCAATAGATATGTCAAGCAGCGTAACGATACAGGATTCAGAATCAGGCGATGTTTGTATGGTTCATGTAATTGTTAATGGTCAGTTAAGATTTATTCTGGCATCCGTATATATTCATCCTACTATTAATTCGTGAGATTTGAAGGCATTTTTGTTTAGTGCATTCATGAAATACACTCATGTCCATAAATAAAGGATAATGCAAAATCAGGCAAAGAAAGAGTTAGAAGCAAAACAAATTTGACTTATTTGTAAAGCTTATTTATTAAACAAAAGGTAAAGAGCAACAAAAATGCTACATGTTTGATATCATTAAAAAATTAGCGATTTTTTCTCCCTGGAGCAAATTAAAAAAAAAAAACTATTTACCAAAAACCAATATTACATGGTTGGTATGATTGTTAACACAGTGTATGTCTCCCAGACGATGCAATACAGTCAGTACAACGCTAGGCATGCTGAGTATCAAATTATCGATCTATTCTTGGGGGATTTTACACCACTCAAAAAGCAATTCGCTCCAAAGTTCCGGTAGACATGTAGGAGGAGGTTGACGGGCTGCAGCTCGTCGGCCAAGCATGTCCCACACGTGCTCTACTGGATTCATGTCCGGTGAGAATGCTGGCCGGTCCATAGGGTGATATCCTCCGATTGAAGGCATTCGCTTACGATGTTTGCACGGTGAGGACGGGCGTTGTCATCCATTAAACACAAATTGTGCGCCCATGGCGCGCCGCCGAAACAAACGTACATGTTGTTCCAGAATAACGTCCCGATAGATTTGGCTTGTCATGATTCCAATTTGAACATGCAGGTCAGTTCTGGAACCCAGAATAATTCCACCCCAAACGAGCACTCCTGCACCACCGTAACGGTGTCGTTCAATGATGTTTTCTTGGTGGTAACGGGTACCTGGAGCTCTCCATATGAAAGTCCAGCGAGAATCAGACTGCAAGCTAAACCTGGAGTCGTCGGAAAACATCACACAAGCCCACTGTTGCGATGTTCACAATGCACGCTCTCTACTCCAGGCTAACCGCAGGCGACAGTGAGTTGCAGTAAGTGGAACGCATCTGACAAGTGTACGAGCATATAGACCAATCTGCCCTAAGCGTCTGTACACGGTCTGCTTTGAAATTGTCGTACCAGTGGCTGAAGAGAGCTGACGAGACAGGTCTGAGGCTGTGCTCCGCCCGTTTCTTTTGGCAGTAACTGCCCAAATACCGGTCCTCATTCGGCGTTGTAACTCTGGAGTGATCTGTGCTATAACGTCTACTCACGTTACCATCATCTTGGAATCGTTGCCAAAGCCTGGAGATGACACTCTGAGCAATTCCATGTTTGTCTGATACTGAGTTCGATTTCCGCGTGACTCCGAATTATCCTTAATTTATGGACATGAGTGTATTTTGAGATTACTTATTGGTCGATGAAGAGTTTACTGCAGATGCAGATGTTCCTGTTATTAGAATGGCAGATTTCAAAATATAGATGTCAAAGGAAATAAAAAAAAAATCTGAAAGTTTTCAGATTTTAAATTTCTTCCAAAGGGGCGTTTTTTTAACGTTTTGTGTGTTACCTTTATTTATTAATCACGTTAGTTAAATATCACGTTCTTTGCACTTAAACCATAAAATTCAGCTCAATAGCAATGTCGCAAAATAATTTTAAAATGAGCCTATCTTTAGAATTTCCGATACACAGTTCCGCGCGCTGGAGATAAAAAAGGGTTTTTCCCCTGTAAAGTGTTACCATTTCTCGCTTTTAAGTCGATGAGTTTGTTACTCAAAAATTCGTTAAAGTTTTACAAAAGAGGAAATCGATAGTAAAAGAAATTCCAAACTTCAAATTTGGTCTTCCACATGCCCATATTCGTAGGAGGATGACGTCATTCAAAATTTGATGGCTCTATGTACCGTTGTTTTATCACAATGCGAGAAATAAACATACATTTAGGCAGATGGTTCATTATTTAATTTCCTCAAATATAATGGAAGACTCGCAAATTTCGCAAAACGAAAACAGGCTTTGCCCTTCAGGGACAAAAAGCCCCTTTGGAATAAAAAAGGCATTTGATTTTATGAAATATCATTTTAATATCAATAGGGGGGCAATTAACTATCCAAGTACACTTGAGCATTCACTTATATATTTAACATTTAGTAGGAATATAACTGCACGCATCTTAAATTATGTATCTTATTTCTCATATCATCGATTAATTTTAGTGTCATTTTGAATGAATAAATGGGATAAATAAAAAATAAATTAAAATAGAAAAGAAAGTCTGAAAGCTTTCAAATTTTATATTACACCCAAAAGCGCCTCTATATTACACCTCTGGTCAATAAAAATCCATCTCATGGTTAACGCAGTACAGCCAACTCGGATTAAAAAAAACACCTGTTACAGGGTATGACGGCGTAACCAAAACACGAACCCAAGGTTTAATAATGGAATTCTTTCGTAAAACTGATGAAAGATCAGCATTAGAGTGTGCTGACCATTACACCACGAAGGTATGCTAAGATGGCGGGATAAATACCTTATATACCCCCTTTTTAACGAGCGACTGGGAGTTAGGGACCCAGTTGCCAAATCCTGGTGGTGAACACATGTTTCTAGTTCGGGCGCCAGTGTAGAGACTTCGGTTTTCTTTAAAGTAGAAGAAGGGAAAAATGAGCAATGCCCTCGCCGGGACCGAAACTCTGACTTCTCGAATGCGTGCCGAGTGTGCTGACCATTACACTACGAAGGCATGCTAAAAAGGCGGGAGAAGTACCTTGAAAATTCCAAATAGTTGTAAATTTATAAATTCGAAATACTGTTTGACCAGAAGATGTATTAAGATCAATGCGATTCCTCAGATTAAAGCATACAAATGCATGTGTTCATCAGCATGTATAATTATCATTGTCTATTGCATGGGAGAAGAGAATAATAAAATATCTGATGTGGACAACTCATGACTACCTTGTACGGCCTATTAAATTATACCTATGTTTTGCTGCACTTTATTTAAACTTATTTCCTCGAATTTCATTAGAGATATATTTCTCATTCATTAGTTTAGTTCTGACTTTGCGGTAAGGCAAAAATACATGAAAGCTCAAAACATCCTCATTAAAAATTCTAAAATATCGATAAACCTAAAACACTACATGCAGTTAAAAAAGAAAAATTTACAATCAAATTTAGATTTTGTACGCAAAAATAAGCAATTCGGCCAGATGGCAGGAAGATAAATTTTTTTATGCAAACAAATTGTAAAGTTATCTTTCTGCTTCACAGGGCAAAAACACACTTGTAGTTGATGAACCAATTGACTTAAATCACTGTTCTGCTAAGAGTTTCAATTGTAACCAAATTGAAGCCTCATTAGACATAGCGCAATTTAAACATTTATATTGCTACAGCTATTGCATGCAGATTAACTAAAGGGATAAAAACTTTAACCGAAACATAAAAACAACATAATTCAATCACCTTTAAAGCAAAAAGTGCACACTTTACGAACATATAAGAATAAAAGCAGACCTCATCGAACCGGGTAAGAAGGCAGGTATATATATGTGATGTACCAGCTTTTGTCGTAGCTTAAATTATCAGACGGTAAGTTTTAAAAAAACCGGATCCATTTATTATATTTCAGGAGAAAATAGCAGTTACAAAATCAGATATCCGGTGTAAATAAAAAAGAATTACTAATAACTTTTCGTATGAAGTTGACCGCATCGTGACATTGAAGAAAAACCCCCGATATTTTTGCGAGTCCTTTTTATAGCCTCTGGAAAGGCGGAGCTTCCAAGAAGAAATGGACATCATCCTCGTCAGCCAATCCAGTTCGCTTGAATATTTCAGAACATTCTATAACTTAGAAAAGGCGGAAAACAAAACTTGATACGGGGTGGATTTAATTCCACGTACTTCAAATAAAGACACCATAGCCATTAAAAATGAAAAGACATACCAGTTAGAATTTTTTAAGTGTATTCTTCACTATGGAATTTTATTATTACATATATATAT